ATTGTGCCTTGAAGATGAATCTGCAGGCGGCATCTAAGAATTCTCAACAGCTCCTTCCAGCTCTCCAGTGCCCCTCCCAACGTTTCTGTGCCGGAATCCCTCCCCTCGCTCCGTACACTTGCTCCCTCCCCTCGCTCCCTTTGCTCGCTCCTTCCCTGCCCTCCCTTCGGCTGCTGCAGCCCCCCTCGTCGCCATCACTGCTGCCCTGCACACATACCCTTGTCAGGGTTTATGGTTTGCGGTTCTCGTGAGTGATTGGTCTGCAGGACATTGTCTAGCTGAGAAACCTTGAAAGCGTTTGTGGGTTGGGAATACCCGAAAGCATTTTTCTGACTGGGAATCCTCAGAAGCTGCTTTTGGAGTGGAACGCAACATAGCTCCCGAGAGCTGATTGCTTCAAGTTGGTTTTTTGGGAGTTCTCGGAAATCCAGGCTGATTGTTTCTGGTTTCTACATGCAGGTGCCGCTGTGCCTCTGTGCCTCGGTGCCCAGGCGTTTTCATCTGTGCACGAGATCTAATTACAACCCCTCTGTGCGATTCAATGGTAGTAAGTACATGGCAGCCCAACTGTTTAACATCGATGACTTATAATCCCTCTCTGCCTCTCTGCCTCTCTTGTCCCTCTGTGCCCTTGTCCCTCTGTGCCCTTGTCCCTCAGTGCCCTTGTCCCTCTGTGCCCTTGTCCCTCTGTGCCCTTGTCCCTCTGTGCCCTTGTCCCTCTGTGCCCTTGTCCCTCTGTGCCCTTGTCCCTCTGTGCCCTTGTCCCTCTATGCCCTTGTCCCTCTGTGCCCTCTTGTCCCTCTGTGTCCTCTTGTGCCTCCGTTCAAATTTCACCCACTCTGACCGATTCTGTGGTGGTATTCAGTCCTTAGTTGCCCACAGTAACCGCTGCACCTTTCGCCATCGATTGCCTACTATCCCTTTGTCCAGTCCCCTCTCTCCCTCGATCCCTCCTCCGCGCCCCACTGCAATTGCTGCGCCTGATCACCGTTGATGAATGATAATCCCTCTTTGCTCTTTGTTCTTTCTGTTCATTCCATCACCTTGCTCCATCCCCTCCCTCCCTCTATCCCTTCATTCCATCACCTCGCTCCATCCCTTCACTCCATCCCCTTCCTCCCTCTATCCCTTTCGCTCCGCCCCTTCGCTCCATCCCTTTCTCCCTCCCCTCGCTCTCTCCCCTCCCATCCCCTCCCATCCCCTCACTCCATCCATGCTCTCCCATTGGCTCCTGCAGCCCATCTTGCTGCCATCCCTTACTCCAACCTATGCCCCTTCTCAACAGACAGCGTAGTGATTGTGCCTGAGAGATGAATCTGCAGGTTGTTACAACAAATGTGCTGCCTCGCTTTCTCTTCTCGCTCCCCCTCTTCCCATCCCCTCACTCCATCTATGCTCTCCCATTGGCTCCTGCAGCCCATCTCGTTGCCATCCCTTACTCCAGCCCCACGACCCTTATATAGAGGCAACGTAGCGATTGCACCTGACAGATAAATCTGCTGGCTGCTACTGAACTTCTTCAACAGCCCCTTTTGAGACGTCCCAAAAGCTGCTGCCGCCCATTTCGCTGCCATCCCTCACTCCCATGCCCGTTCTCAAGGAACAACGTGGTGATTGTGCCTGAGAGATGAGTCTGCAGGCTGCTACTAAGAATTTTCAACAGCTCCTTCCAGCTCCCCAGTGCTCCTCCCAACCTTTCTGTGCCTCAACCCCCCCCCCCCTTTCTCCCTCCGCTCGCTCCGTCCCCTTGCTCCCTCCCTGCCCTCCCTTTGGCTGCTGCAGCCCCCGTCGTCACCACTGCTGCTTGGCACACATACCCTTGTCACATTGAAGAGGAGGTGAATAGTAACTTATCCCTCACATTGAGGGACAATGTGTTGCATGTGTGTGTGTGTGTGTGTGTGTGTGTTTGTGTGTGTGTGTGTGTGTGTGACAGATGTGATTCTGATGGGTGCGTTTCGATTTGACTGAAGCTGCTGCAACTCCCCTTGTCTGTCTCCGTCACGGTTGTCATGCGTGCGCATCCCTCTCATCATAAGGCAATGTATCCCATATGCTTGCAAGCAATATCGAGTCAAGTCCAAACTCTTTGTGAGTGATTGGCCCACAGGGCGTTGCTGGATTGAGAATCCTCAAAAGCTGCTTTTGGATTGGAACTGTGAAGTAGAGTCCAGTCCAGGAGGTAATTGTTTCCTGTGGCTGTTTTTTCACATCCAAGACATAACATGGACTGTTCTTGAGTTTCTTACCATGCTGCACCCTCCTCGCACTCCACCCTCCACCACCCCCATCCCTTCATGCCACCTCCCTTTCAGCTGCCGTGCAATTTTGACCCCGAAGCCATGCCGCTCAAATTGTTGACCTCACCATCCCTTTTCCATGCTCCACCCTCCACACCGCCATCCTTCCCCACGCTCCAACCTTCACCACCCTCCCCATACTCCCCCCCCCACCACCCCCATCCCTCCCCATGCTCCATCCCCCATCACCCCCATTCCTTCAAGTGCCCCTCTTCCGCTGCTGCGGAATTGTCACCCCAATGCCATATGGTTAGGTAGGAAGGTTGGCAGTGCCATTGACAACTTGTTTGATGGGGAAAGCAGGGGGGGATCAGAGGAGAGGGGTGGTTAAGGGAAGGGAAAAGGGAAGAGGGCGTGGAGTGGAGAAGAATGATGAGTGTGGTCATGACCTGTGGAACTCAGTTCTATGGTGGCGTGGCGTCATTAAAGCTCAGCATTGTGACGGCGATGTACCGGTACAGACACACTAGACTAACATGAAACAACAAATTCTTTTAGGGAGCTGATTTTTATAAGACGGGTTGTACCGGTACAGACACACTAGACTAACATGAAACAACAAATTCTTTTAGGGAGCTGATTTTTATAAGACGGGCTGTACCGGTACAGACACACTAGACTAACATGAAACAACAAATTCTTTTAGGGGGCTGATTTTTATAAGACGGGTTGTACTGATACAGAGTATATAGTAGACCGTTCCCGTTCCTCTCTTTCATTCCCCTTTTTTCCTATCAAATTTGAACAGCCCTGGGTGGCGTGTGGACCTGGATTCTTCATACGGGTGTTCCTCTTTCGTGAGCAGCAGGGCCTCAGATTCGTTTTTAGCTTGGCTGATACGTCAGCCTTAGCAGGCTATGCTGGGCTGATCAACCAGAGTTGGTTAAAAAATAAAAACTGAAATTTCAGACAAGTCACAAAAAAAAACGCTGACTAATCAGCCTCACTAAAAAACGCAGGCTGAACTGGATTGGTTCTATGTTTAGGGCACGCACATGGATGCAGGTTCGGGGTGGGTGAGATGGGGTGAGGTGGGTGTCCTTGTCGTGAGTGCGTGCGGTGCGTTGCTGTGCTGCACTGGTGGTGGGTGATTGGCGCATAAGGGATGTGACAACCAATCACATCAATTAAAGCATTCTGTCGGTGACAACGAAGCACCGACGCGTCGGGGAAATTCGTTTTCCCCCGCGTCGGCGCTGTACATGGTGACTTTTGCGTGATTGACAGGTGGATGTACCTGGACAGCCGAAACTCACGGCTCTGGCACGAATCTGTAATAGCGTGAGAGTTCAGCCTACACTCTCGTTATAAATCAGCCAACACTTGTAAAAAAACGCTGGAAAATCAGCCAATACATTAAAAAAAAACCTGAACAATCAGCGAACACTTAAAAAAAAAACTGAATCATCAGCCAACACATCAGCCACAAGTCTGGGAAATCAGCGTCCAGACCCTAAATCAGCCTTTTTTCGCTGACTTCTGAGGCCCTGGTGAGCAGTGAGAGCGAGCACCCCCTTCTTTTTCTGAGATCATTATAATGCCCTTGCCCGTAATGTCGAGGTAATAATAGCTGTTGTTGATTACATGATTAGGGGTTGTTTATCGGAGGCGCTTGTTAGAATTAGGCTGTCAACACTTTGTGTACTATATTCTATATCGCGTATGTTATTTGCGGGTTGGGTGCAGTTTGTGATCCCAACCCTATCTGGTTGGGATTCCCTCGTAATCCTGCAAATCTGCCAACTCACCAATTGGAGATTTGCTAGGATTCCCATCCCATCCTTTCCCTAGCCTTGCCCATCCCAACCTCGTTTGTACTTAAGGCCTAGTGCCTTCTTTCCTAATCAATCAGTTGAGCTCCATTATTATCAGCGCTTCGCAACATGTCATGGGAAAATCCTTCGGAGGAACTAAGTAGTGCTGGTTGGTAGTAGTCTAGTAGATCTACAAGGTTTGCTACAGCAAACCCTTCAGGAAACTTACCCAAAAGCATGCTCAACTGTTGTTGACAAAGCGGTAACCTTGAATACAGTAACAGTACTTCTGAAAACAGTCATTGCCGTATGTACATGCATGCGCTTGATTGACATGCCGCACGCACACACTGGCAGTCTGGCACCTGCTTCGGCACCGCTGCCACGATGAAGGGGGAGGGTAGCAGCTGACACGAGAAAGGGCGCTTGGCTTGGCTGGTACGTGTAGGATGGGAGAGTGCCATGCATGCGCTTGCTTCACACTTGCACACCCTGGCACCTGCATCAGCACCGCTGCTGTGATGAGGGGGGAGAGTAGCAGCTGACACGAGAAAGGCCGATTGGCTTGGCTTGGACGGTACCGGTAGGATGGGAGTCCCCTGCAGGCGCTTGCTTGACATGCTGCACCCACTGGCAGTCTGGCACCTGCTTCGGCACCGCAGCTGCTATGAGAGGGGAGAGTAGCAGCTGACACAGGGAAGGGCAACTCCCCCTCTCCCCCTCTCTGCCTCCGCCAGCAGCTCTTGAGCAGCCTGTGCGCCCCATCAATGTGTGAAGGGGATAGGCGAGATGCATGAGGAGAGCAGGAGGTGTGGGTGGGGCCAATGCACGCCCAACCCTCCTGCCACAGCTCCCTCTCCCTCTCCGCCTCTGCCAGAACGCTCTTGATTGACCAGCCTGTGCACCCCATGGGCGCGCGTACAGCCCCTGCACTTCTTCCCACCACTCATGCACCAACTGCCTCCTTCCCCTCCTTCCCCTCCCACTCCCGCCCCGCCTGCCCCTCCTGCCACAGCGCCCTCCCCCTCTCTGCCTCTGCCAGCACGCTCTTGAGCAGCCTGTGCGCGCCATTGTCGTCCAGAATGGCCACGGCACTCACTTTACACCGAGGGCGGTTTAGAGCCTGGCAGGCAGAGCAATGCAGTGCAAGCAAGGGGTGAGGAGAGAGTGAAGGCACTGCAATGCAAGCATGGACCCATGGTCGTTCAGAATCGCCACGGCACTCACTCGGCAGCGCGGGCGATTTAGTGCCTGGCTGGCAGGGAGGGATGAGAGGTTAGTGGAAGGAGTGGGTGAGGGCAATGCAAGGCAAGCACGGCCCCATTGTCGTCCAGAATGGCCACGGCACTCACTTTACACCGAGGGCGGTTTAATGCCTGGCAGGGAAAGGTGGGAATGGGGGGTGTGTTGCAAGGATAAAGGGCGAGGAGTGGGTGAGGGCACTGCAACTGCAATGCAAGGCAAGGCAAGCGCTGTCCCATTGTCGTCCAGAATGGCCACGGCACTCACTTTACACCGAGGGCGGTTTAGTGTCTGGCAGAGCAATGCAGTGCAAAAGTGAGGAGATGGGAGGAGATGGGAGGAGATGGGAGGATATGGAAGGAGATGGGAGGTGATGGGAGGAGATGGGAGGATATGGGAGGAGATGGGAGGATATGGGAGGAGATGGGAGGATATGGGAGGAGATGGGAGGAGATGGGAGGAGACGGGAGGAGATGGAAGGAGATGGGAGGAGATGGGAGGATATGGGAGGATATGGGAGGAGATGGGAGGATATGGGAGGAGATGGGAGGATATGGGAGGATATGGGAGGATATGGGAGGAGATGGGAGGATATAGGAGGAGATGGGAGGATATGGGAGCATGCAAGCGGGGGAAAGGAGGAGAGGGTGCGGGCGATGCAGCATTGTCGTCCAAAATGGCTATGGCACCGAAACAAATGGCAGCACGGGCGGTTGAAGGCCTGGCCTGGAGGGAGTGAACGTGAACATGCAGGGCGAAGAGGAGATGGGAACATGCAAGGCAAGCACGGCCATATTGCCGTCCACAATCTCCTCAGCAGTCGCGAGACACCGCAGGTGATTCAATGCCTGGCGGCATGGGAAAAAGGCGAGAGAGACTGACAGGGCAATGCATGCCAGAGAGTTGAAATGAAGGGAGTGAGCGACTTGTGCTGCTTTACAACAACAGCGACTGGTTCCTTTCCAGTTTGCCTGGTCACTCACATGACATGATGGCATGCTACATTGCTAGCCCCCTACTTCCCACCTTAGCCTGCACTCACCTTGGCTAGGCAGCGTTGGAAAATTCAGCACCTTCACCTGTAGGCACCTGAAAGAACCCCTGTTGAACCTTCAGCAGTGGGCATGCGAATGCTGCATGCATCACCCCTCACGCATCGACTTCTAGGATAGAACCAACAGCCCAGCTTACCGTGCACTACCTGACAGCACCACAGGCCACCACATTCAACACCTGCACTCACCTTGGCGAGTCGCCGTCTGGAGAGAGCCACAACCACGGGAATGCTCCGCGTGGTGGCATCTGATAGGATGGACGTGAGGGCCGCATCAAGACCGCCTGAGGAACATAGGGGAGTGGGGATGGGTTGGGTGGGTGGGATGGTGGGACGGTGGATAGGTAGGGCTGGTTTGAACTGGGAATGGTGTGTGCAGCCGCATCTGATAGGATGGCTGCAAGGGCCATGTTAAGACCAATTGGTGGGCAGAAAAGGGGGTGGGGAACGGGGGGAGGGGAGGGGAGAAGGGGCGTTTGGAATGCTGCTGCGTGCAGCAGCATAGGACAGCATCTGACGGTCCAATCAGCTTTCATTCGACGTCAGAGCTGACTCACGACCGCCTGATGGAAGGTGGATGGGTGAGAGAGCAGCGTGAAGACCACCTGGGATACAATGCCACACCACACGGTATGGGGAGAGGGCGGAGGCAAAGGTGATCAGGGTGGATAGGAGTGGTGGTTGGATTCTGCGCAGCGCACACCATTTGAAAAAAGCATAAGCATCTCTCACATCATCACCCTCCCACCCTTGCCTCCCTTCCCCACCTCCCCCCTTATCCCCCTTCACTCACCTGCCGCAGCCACCTCCTCCACGTTGTGTTGGGCGGCCGGCAGCACCACACACTTGGCCCTCCCTCCTTCCAGCACTACCCAGTTGTGCATGATTCACTACTATCTCAGTCCTTACCATCTCATCCCCCATACCTCACCTGCCCCAGGCACCTCCTCCACGTTAGGCGCCAGCACCACACACTTGGCCCTCCCACTGCGCACCGCCTGCCCCACCTCCTTCAGCCCTGCCAGCACCCGCCGCCGCATCGCTCCCTGTGCACGGGGGGGATGAGTGGAACCGGGGTGGGGGAGAAAAATGACGGGATCTCCTTCAGCCCCCCTCGGTCTTGCTTGCGTCGACTCAAAAGCCATGCCCATTCCCCCCCCAGGCTCACCTTAATGGGGTCCTTCTGAAGCGCCCTGACTTGGAATCGCAGCAGCTCCCCCAGCAGCTCAGCCACGAGTGCGTTGAGCTCGGGTGTCACCACCTGCTCGGCGTACCTGGGGGGGGGAAAGGAGGGGTACGAGGAGGGGGGAGGAGACATGGGTGGGGAAAGATGGGAATGAGGAGGGGGGAGGGGGCGAAGGAGGAGGGGGGAGGTTGGGAGGGAGGAGAAAGGGGGTACGGTGCAGCAGCCCTGCCAGCAGTGCAGGCACGCGAGAGTTCAGCTCTCGTACCTGAATGTTGTGCAAAGGCGAGGGGGGCGGTGCGTGGGAGAAAGAGAGGGCTATGAAAGAGAGGAGATGCGAGGGTGGGAGGAGATGGGTGATGCGGAGGAGACGGGTGATGCGGAGGAGACGGGTGATGCAGAGGAGACGGGTGATGCGGAGGAGACGGGTGATGCGGAGGAGACGGGTGATGCGGAGGAGACGGGTGATGCGGAGGAGACGGGTGATGCGGAGGAGACGGGTGATGCGGAGGAGATGGGTGATGTGGAGGAGACGGGTGTAGCAAGGGGTGGGGGGGGAGGTGAAGCTTTGGGGGAAGGCTGTGAACATTTGAGCAGTGATCCAAGCAAATTCAGAGGCGGCTCAAAATATGATTCAGGTGAAGCTCGAGGGAACATGCGATCGCCAAGGCAAGGCCGAACCTCGATCGAATGGCAAGTGATACACTCACTGTCTCACTTCCTTCCTCCTTGCCTCACCTGCTGCATGCCTCCACGCCAATGTAAGTGGTCGGCTGCGTTTGCCTTTTCGCCTCGCTGTCTTCTTGCCCACTCTTCTCTTCCCCTCCCTTCTCTTCCCCTCCCTTCTCTTCCCCTCTCTTCTTTTCCCCTCCCTTCTCCTCCCCTCCCTTCTCCTCCCCTCCCTTCTCCTCCCCTCCCTTCTCCTCCCCTCCCTTCTCCTCCCCTCCCTTCACCCCTTCCCCATTCTCCTCCCCTCGTTTCTCCTCCCCTCGCTTCTCTCCTCCCTTTCTCCTCCCTCGCCTTCGCCTACCCACTCGTTTCCCACTCACCTCCCTCCCGTCCACTTTTCCGTCCAGTCCCTGCCCACCCTCCCTCGCCACCATCCCCTCCTCCCCCCTGCCCTCCCTCGCCACCATCCCCTCCTCCCCCCCGCCCTCCATCCCACCCTCCCCTAACCTTTCTCTCCTGTCTCCCCTCTCTGGCCCCTCACTCGCCTCTCCCACCCCCACCACTGTGGCAGCACACCCCTCTTCACGCCTCTCATGCTCCACCCATCCCATGCCTCCTCCATTCCTCCCACCATCACCATGCACCACACGCTCTTCTTCCTCCCCTTCCTCCTCCTCCTCCTCCTCCTCCTCCTCCTCCTCCTCCTCCTCCTCCTCCTCCTCCTCCTCCTCCTCCTCCTCCTCCTCCTCCTCCCCTTCTCCCTCTCCCATTCCCACTCTCTCCCCCGCTTCCTCTCCCAACCTCTCCCGTTCCCTCACCTTCTCTCCCGTTCCCTCCCTCTCCCCCTCCGCCTCCCTATTCTCCCTTTCCCCCTGCCATCCCTCCCCTGTCTCCCCCTCCCCGCGCGCCTGTCTCGCCAGCACCACCATCCGCTTCAGGCGGCTCACTCGCTTCTGCTTCGGTGTCTGCCTCTCCTTTCCCCGCCTCACGCCAATGCTCTCCGAAGTTGCAGGGTTCACCAGCACCCGACCCCCCTCTCGCCCCCCTCCGCGCTCCCCCCCGTTCTCCCAATTGCGCCCCTTCTCTCTCCCCCTCTCGAGCTCCTTGCGCGCGCTCTCCACTTTTCCCTCTCGCCCGCCCGCCCCCACACTTCCGCCTGCCACTTCTCCCCTCCTCCGCCCTCCTGCTCCGCCCCCTGCTCCCCCTGCTCCCACCCCTTGCCTCGTTTCCGCCAAAACCAAGCCACGCGCGCCACCATCCTCAATTCCCCCTCCTCTCCCTGCGCCTCCTCTCCCCGCTCCGCCTCCCTTTTCGCATCCGCGCGGCCGCCCGTCACTAATACCCGCATTTGCCCTTCCCGTTCCACTGGCGCGCGGGCCAATTTCCGCGGATTCGCGCGCAGCGCGGGTGGCAACAGAAGCGGTGGCGGCGGGCCCGGTGGCGGCGGCGAGGAAATGATCGAGACGAAGCGCGACCGGCGCGGGCTTCCACCGCCTCTTCGCGCCGCCTCCGCCGCCGCCGCCGCTTCCGCCTATGCTGCTCGCATCGACGCTGCTGCCTCCGCCGCCGCCACCGCCGCTGTCTCCGCCGCTGCCGCCGCCGGGGGCGCGCGCGTGCTTGTCCCACCCGCCAATCCCGCTGCTCCTCGCGACTCTGCTGTCGCGTCTTTCAGCCATCGTTAATTTGATATTTTCGCTCTTTCGTCGTCTACCGTCGCTCTCTCGTCGCCAGGATGTCGTTTTGTCCCCTTACTCGCACCCAGTGCCTCATTTCTGGCTGAACGCTTTTGGTACGCAATTTTAGCAGATCCGAAACTATTATGAATGATGTGAAGTAGGGAAATTAGATTTTCTAAGAAAACAACATGAAAACAACAAGAAAGCACATTAGGTAACCCTCAAAAGAGATTTTACTCCTCAAATTCTATCAGAATTAGGGGATTTTTTATCAGCATAAATTAATCTAATGCACTGATAATCAAGGTGATATTATATATGATTACAATATTAGATTTCTATCATAAATTAATTTTTTGTTGTGATCAAAAGTTGATCGAGCCTAGGTCACCTCACGAAGGTTCGCACAGAGTAAATTGCAGCGGAAAAGTTGACCTCATGTTAGAGTGAATATAAAATGACTGAGATTAATACAACAAAGGCATACATTTGTAAAATTGTATGGTAATACAAAGTAAAACCAAATGTCCCAGATAGCCAAGTACTTTAAGGGTTACATTCCCTTATTGCAACGGTACGCAACTATGCAACTCCAGACGGTTAAAAACGTGTTCCCGCCAAAATTCTTCGTGCTGCAGCTGCCCGATGCTTCTTCCCTGACGGCCCCGATGTTACCAACCGTATGCGACATTTCGCGTCTGCTTCCGCTGATGACAGGGCAACCAGTTCCTGTTTTTGTGAGTTCCATAAGATGGTACCTGTCGGCTCGAGTCGTAACAGGAATCCAGTCCTTGGCCGACGATTGTCGGGATCAGCGGCGTGATCGGCGCTAATGAGATTGAATGAGGGAGTCGTGACTATGGAGTAGTAGATCATAATGTTGGCTGTAGGGATTGAAGGGCGCGCCGAAGATCTAGAAAAATCTTAGTCGTTGGTTTGCGAGAGTACTGAGAGCTGGAGCGTGATGTAGGAGAGGTTGGGCCTGCATGTTACTGATGCGAAGAGCAGGCAACCTTGCAGCTGCTGGTGTGAAGTAAGGAAAACAGGAATGGAAATGACTAAGTCAGAGTTGGGTACAAATACAACCCTAGAAAGCTGTACCCCATATGTGCTACCCCACTATGGCCTACAAACATGCATCAGCTATGATAATCTGACACACCCCCATAGGCAGAGTGGGGGAGAACAAGGGGTCACAAGAACAGTCAAGCAAAGCAAAGCAAGCTCAGGGTGGATCACAAAGTCACCACACAGTCCGAGCACAAGAGCAGGGCCAGAGGCCAGTTCACATGCAGAAGTACAGACATATATATAAAACTAGACAAGCAAGAGCAGGTATATATATATGTCACAGTACAAGTGAAGTCAAGAGGAGAGCAAGTGAGGCAAGACAGGCACAAGACCCAGCTGGGTGCAAAAGCGCTGATGGTCACAAGGCGCGAGTGCCTTGGTGAACACATCAGCAGTGTTGGCCTCAGAGGCCACGTACGCAAGTCGCAACTGACCACGCTGCTGCAGCTCACGAGGAAGGAAGTAGCGGAGAGCAATGTGCTTCGTTCTGTGCTCCAAGCGCTGCTCTCGACACAAGGCCAGCATGGCCTTGTTGTCTACGTACAGCACTGGAGGAGAACGAGGCGGCTCGCCAAGGTCAGTCAGCAGGTAGGTGAGCCAGCGAAGCTCCTGTGCAGCCATGGCCCCGGCGTAGATCTCAGCCTCACAACTGGAGCCGAGAACCGAAGACGAGCGAGTAGACCGCCACGAGACAGAGCCGGAACCAAGGCTGAAGGTGTAACCCTATGACGACCGCTGCGTAGCCTGGTCGTCAGCCCAAGAAGCGTCCGCGTGGCCGGTAAGGACCACTGGACTCCGCCCTCCAAGCACTAGCCCCATGCCCGACGTACTGCATAGGTAGCGCAATACCCTCTTCGCTGCAGCCATGTGCTCTGGTCGGTGTCTCCCAGGAGCAACATAGCGTGCAAGAATGCTCAGAGGGTATGCAAGGTCAGGTCGTGTGCAGGTCATCAGGTACATGAGGCAGCCAACAAGCTCTGCATACGGACCACTCGACTCTACGGACTCATCCGAAGGCAGAGCTGAGAGTGAGTGGCGAGTAGGCAGAGGAGTGGCCTGAGGCGAGGAGTACGTGAAGCCGAAGCGCTGAAGGACCTGCTGCACCATGTATGACTGAGTCAAGGTAATGGTGCGGCGTGCTCTGTCCCGAGTGATCTGCAAGCCAAGGTAGCTGCGCAGTTCACCCAGGTCTGTGCACGTGTGTCTCTTCAGCAGCTCGGACTTCACGTAGGCGAGTCCAGCAGTGTCCGCTGTGGCAAAGACCAAGTCGTGGACGTACACGAGGATGTAGAACGGCGGCAGGGAAGTGTCGGTGCGAAGAAACAGCGACGGGTCAGCAGTAGAAGGAGCAAACCCAAGGGCCGCAAGCGTAGTCCTCAGTGTGTCGTGCCACTCACGCGGTGCCTGGCGGAGACCGTAGACTGGCCGTCGGAGGCTCCACTGGGTGCCAGGAGGGAAAGTCCCAGTGAAGCCAGGTGGACGGCGAAGCCAGATCTCCTCGTGCAGGCTACCTTGCAAGAACGCAGTGCTGAAGTCGAGAGAGTGAAGCTCGTAGTCGCGCTGAGCGGCTATGTGCAGCAGCACCCGAAGAGTAGTCATCTTCGGGGTGGGAGAGAAGGTCTGAAAGTAGTCAACTCCCTGCCGCTGACTGAAGCCACGAGCAACGTACCGTGCCTTGAAGACAGGTGGAGAGCCCGGCGGCCGCTTCACCCTGAAGATCCACATGCCACTGACGATGTTCGCCCCAGGAGGGGGAACCGCATCAACGTAGGTGCCTGTGGACTTCCAGGAAGCCATCTCTGCATCCATAGCTGCCTGCCACTGAGAGGAGTAGGGACCCTCTACGGCCTCCGCGTAAGAACGCGGAGTCGGGATGTCTAGTGCATCCGGGTCTCCCTCAGGGGCAAGCAGTACAGCCGCAAGATGAGGTGAAGCAGCCGCTAGACACTGTAACTCCTCCTGTCTGTCCTCTAGGACGTCCGTGCCAAGAGCACACTCACCCCCGACGGACGGAGGACAGACAGACGCAGACACAGCAACAAGACTAGCAGCGTAGTCGAGACGACAGCGAGCAGCAAAGTCGACGAGCTCAGCGACTAGAGCAGACGCAGAAGTGGACTCAAAAGAGGGGTCAGTGACGACAGTAGCAAGCAGACGCGTGACAGTAGGACTGGCAGCACGAAGAGAGTCCGACTCAGGGTCGGCCAGCGCAGGAAGAGAGGACTCAGGAGGAGAAGGCAAAGGGGCACGCAGAGGAGCAGTGGACGGACGCAAAGACATCCGGTGGGTGCCAGGGACAGGAGGAGGACGCTGACGCGAACCGCGACCACTAGCGCGAGCAGCACGAACAGGCGACGCGGGACGAGACGCAGGCTCACGACGCTCAGCAAGACCTCTAGTAGGACCAGTGTAAGGAGAGGGAGCAGGCAGTGGAGAGGAAGGCTCCAGCAGGGACTACGACTGGACAGGCGGTGGACCCTCTACTGGAGGAGAAAGACCAAGAACCTGCTGCAGGAGCGGAACAAAGTACGGCCGAGGCCGCGCGGCAGCTCCAGACTCAGCAGGGACAGCACCAGCACCCTCAGCGACAGCACCAGCGCCACCCACACCTCCAGCGGCAGGACCAACAGCAGTAGGCTCAGCACCAACGCCCTCAGCAGCTCCAGCTCCAGGAGGACCCGCAGGTCCAGCAGCTCCGGGACCGGCAGCACCCGCACCCTCGACGGTCGAAGAAGCACCAGCTCCAGCTCCAGCAGCACCTCCAGACTCAGCAGCATGCCTCCAGCGGCGAGCGAACCACTCGCGCAGCTCCTGTGGAGAGAGGGGCTCCCGGCGAGACGCAGCAGCAGGAGAAACCCCAGGCTCAGCAGCTCCAGACGCAGCACCCCCAGGCTCAGCAGCTCCCAGCTCAGCACCCCCAGGCTCAGCAGCTCCCGACCCAGCACCCCCAGACCCAGCACCTCCAGGCACAGCACCCCCCGGCTCAGCACCCCCAGGCTCCGCACCCTCCGCAGTAGCACCCTCAGGCCCAGCACCCCCAGCAGTAGCACCCCCAGGCTCAGCACCCCCGCGCACAGCACCCCCAGCGTCAGCACCCCCAGGCTCAGCACCCGCAGCAGCACCAGAGTCACCAGTAACCTCGACCGGGTCAACGGCGTCTACCTGGGACACACCTGAGGGGGCAGGAACCTGAGGGGGGAGGGGGTCTACCGGGGGGGGAACCGGCACGAGGAAGTCCGGGGGAGGGGGGAGGGAAGGAGTGCGGTAGGGGAAGAGACGGTAGAAGGGGACTGCCTCGTCGAACGTGACGTCCTGGGAGGACAGAACACGACGAGAGGAGGGGTGGTAAAACTGCCACCCTGGGGCGTCAGTGGGGAAGCCAAGGAAGACACAGGGAGCAGCACGAGGGGACAGCTTGTCCGCAGACAAGTCGCGGACAAACGCCCGAGATCCCCAGACACGGAAAACAGACGCATCACCAACCTTCCCCGTCCACAGCAAGGCTGGGGACATCGCAGGCCGAGAGACCCGGGGGTGAAGGTTGAGCTGATGCGCCGCGTACCTCACCGCAAACGGCCACAGAAAATGGGGGGCAGCTGCATGCATCATGGACGTTCGAGCGACATCCATGACCATGCCAATGCGGCGCTCAGCAATCCCATTTTGCTGTGGTGAGTCCGGAAGCGTGAAGGTCTGGCGGATCCCTCGTGCACGACAGTAGTCCCGCAGAAGGCGAGAAGAGAACTCTCCGCCTCTGTCCGAGTGCAGACGCAGAACAGGAAAGTCCGAGCCGAAGCTCTTCCTGAGCTGGAGACGAGCCTCGCGGATCCAGTCGATCAGCACCTCAGTGACCGCACCCTTGCTGCGCAAGGGGAGGACTGTGGTGTAACGCGAGTAGTCGTCAACCACCAACAGGAAGTAGCGCTCGT